GGTTTGAGATATTGACTTCGGGTTTGCGCGAAAAGTTTTCTTTTTTTATGCTCTTTCGAACGAGCTATCACAAAGGGGGTCTTCCCATTTGAAAATTAAAAGTTGGGGGCCGTTGCCCTCCCCTCCCCCAAGGGGGGCCCCCCTGAAAATTTTAGGGGGGCCGAAAAGTAGCTCCCTTTGACCTAGGAATATCCCCCAAGTTTCAAATCTTTACCTCAATTAGGTAAAAAGTTAGAGGGGGTGGAAGGGACTTTTGGATCACCCTGTATGTTATAAATATTATATATAAATATATATTATATATTATATTAAAAAAACTTCTTGTTTCGCGGCGTGATTGTTTATGTGTGGATAAACTTTTCAAGGTCAAGGTTAAAACCATTTGAAGACTTTGAAGTGCTCTCCTGAAAAATTGTGTTTTTTTACCTTTAGGTACACTTTTCTCGGGAAATATTTGACCTAGAAGGCTCATTTTTTTTTAAAAATTTTGGATTTTTTAAGCTCTACAGGTCTAACCTGCTTAAAATGTTGAGTAACAATAAGAGTATTAATGAGATTCAAATAGAGAAGGGGAAAAAAGTAAAATTTAATACGTTTTTTCAAAACAAAAAAAAAATATAAAAAAGTAAAAAAAAAAATTTAAAAAGTTGTTAACTCCACTCTCCTTATTATGACACATATGCATGCCTTTCAACTTCCTAGGGCAGATGGTTCTCTCAAAAACTGTACCTGAAGTTGACCAAAATTACATGGGGAAAGATAGGACTACAATCTCACCTTAAGGCAAGAGTTGCACTACGCAGAAAAAGAGGGAGGTCACGGCTGAGATGGCTCGAGGATGTAGAAAAGGACATTAGAGCAATGAGAGTAAGACAATGGAGAACCCGAATACTTGACAAGAGTGCAGTGGCGGGGAATTGTTGTGGAGGCCAAGGCTCACATCGGGCTGTGGCGCTAGAGAAAAAGAAGAAGAAGAGGAGGACAGTTTTCTTTTCGCTTCACTTTAGGAGTGGGACGATAAACCTTACTACTTGAAGGCAAGGGAAGTTCTAAAAAGTTTGCGTGTGGTCAACGATTCCGCCGGAAGGGCAGTTCGACACATGCAAAGATGAATCCAATCTATAACTAAAAAGGAGGATGAAAATCAAGATTGATCATATCAAGAAAGAGCTTCGCGAAGCGAATTACATCCACTAAATATAGGTTCCGCACATGAAATGAGTCACACCGACCGGTTTGGAAGATCGAAAGGGATTTACGTTCGCAACTCGAAGCGAGGTCCCAAAGGTGACGGTTTCGTACTATCCCGACGGGAATTATCTCGTATCCAACAAACGGATCCGACAACTGCAAGATCCCCAAGAGGATACCGACGCCGTGAACAAACAATGGACAGACTCGAAGTGGACGGAAGCTATGAATTTAGCACAGCTTTCTTGGGGGAAAATGGAAGAATACAAAAATATCATGCAACGACTCGAGACGAAATTATCACGACTGGAAAACAGCATCAATCATTTAGAGGTTGTGAATCGAGTGAAAGGCAAATAGTATTGCGACGGGTCACACCGACGGTTTTGGCCGATCGAAATTCCGCCGCGGTCCAAAAGGTGACGGATTCTCTCTGGATTCCGACGGAAATTATATCGTATCGAACAAACGGATCCGTCAAGTGCAAGATCCCGAAAGCAATGAAGATGCGGTGAACAAACAATGGTCCGAAAGAAAGTGGGAGGAAGCCATGATACTAGGTCAACACTGTCTAGAGCGTATCCACCAACTTCAGCAATCTTACGATCGTCTGACTAAAATAGTAGCATCGAAACAGCATTTGAATCGACAGAGTGGACGACGACGTCGACGGTAATTATCATGTCGGTGGAGAGACGTGGGATCGTCGAGGAGTTACATAAACCTGCACGAAGGGAAATATCCGCGTCGTACAGTACGGATTCTCGGATTGTTCGATTTACGGCAAGCCGATTTCGTCGAGATGCAATCGTACGCCTCGGTCAACAAAGGATACAGATATCTTCTCACCGTCATCGACACGTGCTCGAAAACGGCGTGGGCCAAATCGCTCAAATCGAAAAACGGCCACGGATGTCACTGATGCCATGCAACGCGTTCTCAAAGCAGCCGAATAGTCACCGAAACATTTACAAGTCGATATGGGCTCGGAATTCTACAACTCCAAATGTCAAGCATTGATGAAGCGTCACAAGATCAATATGTACAGCTCGTACTCGACAACCAAAGCCTCTATTATCGAACGATTCAACCGAACGCTCAAAACGAAGATGTGGAAAGAGTTCAGCGCGCAAGGATCGTACAAGTGGGTAGTTCTATTACCGAAACTCATTCGTGAATATAACGAGAGCGTTCATCGCACCATCGGGATGAAACCAATTGATGTTACCGAAAAGGATGTACCGATGATCCTGCAAAAGCTCCGTGGGCCGCCGCTGAGTAAAACCGAAAAAAGCCGTCTGGCCACACGAACACTGAAAGTCGGTGATCACGTCCGGATCTTCAGACTCAAAGCCATGTTTGAGACAGGATACACACCGAACTGGAGCACGGAAATTTTCAAGATTGTCAGCGTCGATCCGACCGTTCCGATCACGTACGATCTGAAAGACGCGCACGATACGATCATCGAAGGAAAATTCTACCGCAAAGAACTCCAACCCACCAACTATAAGGATACGTTACTGGTGGAGAAAATTCTACGTCG